GCCCCCAGTCAGGAGCAGGTAGGCAGTCTGCACTCAACGTGCCCCCAGTCAGGAGCAGGTAGGCAGTCTGCACTCAACGTGCCCCCAGTCAGGAGCAGGTAGGCAGTCTGCACTCAACATGCCCCCAGTCAGGCGGGTGGCTACAGGGAGGCTGTGACACAGCTGCAGCCAAATCAGAAATACTGCCAAGTCAAATACGGCTCTTACACCTCAAATTACTGTCTGACATCAGGACTATTCTACAGCAGTACTGGTTATGTTACCGAGCAGGACACCCGAGTGTAAAATCATGTACATGCACGCACACCCCCCCACACTAGGTGAGTCAGTCTGTCTTCATTCTGCGTATACGTGATTACATTACTGCCTAACTAAGAGTGGATTCTGAGTATTGTGACTAAGCATTATGTGCCATATTGATCAATATCCCTGCTATGAGTATAGTGGACTCTGAGTATTGTGACTGCATGATTGGATCGCGCATGTCAGCCCCCAGCCCCCACCTGTGTTGGTCACACTGCACTCCTCGCTCTTCTTCCGCGTCTGGTAGATGATGCAGACCCACACAAGTGAGGTAACGACGATGCTGGTCACCACGGCGATCACGATGATGCCCACGGCGACGGCACTGTCGGGACGGCTGGGGTGGACGCCGCAGGCGGCTGAGTGGAGCACGGTGAGCTGGCTGTGGGCACGCTCGGTGCCCAGCGCGTTGGACATGACGCAGGTGTAGCGGCCGGCGTCCTCTGGCACCACGCCGCGGATCACCAGTAGTTGGTTGCCAGGCGTGAAATGGTGACGGTCGGTGACCCGCAGAAGCTCCTCCCCCTTCAGCCAGGTGACCTTCGGCGGAGGGCTGCCCAGTGCCTTGCACTGCAGTGCCACTGTCTCCCCAACCACAGCACTGCGGTCCTCCAGCTCCTGAGCCAGGTGAGGGGTCTCTGCACGCAAACACGCAGGGGCTCAGAACGCACCCCCCCCTCTCGGTTAACTCTAGACAGATGCTACTGGGGAGAGGGACCCTAACAACAGGGTGAGTACAGATTGTGTCAAACCCTGCGATAAGGTTCAGCGCCAGACCACTGTAGTGCGAGAAGCACGAGCAAAAACCCTAAAAGGCACTGGATGGAGGATCTACACCTAAAAGGCACTGGATGGAGGATCTACACCCAGAACGAATTCCAGAGTCAGCCATTCTACAAGCCAGGGAACAAACAAATAATTGCAATAAATAATAAAATCCCTATAAGACTGCTTGGAAGTAAAAGACTTCACAGGCTGAGTGCGAGGCTTAGTATAGACATCAAATTAATGCCCTCCCGGCTCTCCAGGGCAAAGGTCGGCTTGGTGGGGGGTTTATAGGGGGGGCTGAACCAGGACTGAGCTCGCTGCGAGGCATGGACCTCGTTCAGGAAGCCGAGACCCACAATAGTCACTCCCCTGCGAAGCCCCCACCCCAGTGAGCTTTCACCGCAGGGCCCTAGACATGAAAGAGCAGGCCATGACCGCACACGGGACGGGGGGGGGGCACTTACCCAGCACGGTGAGTGTGGCATTGGCGGAGGCAGCGCCTGCCGTGTTCTGAGCCGTGCAGCTGTACACGCCCATGTCCTCCGCCTTCACGCTGGTGATGAAGAAGACGTCGTCGTCGGGCATGACGTGCATGCGCCGCTCGCGTGCCGCCGGGAAGTCGGTGCCGCCGTCCTTCTGCCAGGCGATGACAGGAGCCGGGTGGCCCCGCGCCGCGCACTCCAGCCTAGCCGTGGCCCCCATCCGGATGGTGATGTCCCGCGGCATCTTCACGAAGGACGGCAGCACTGCGCCCGAGAACACACCGTCACACTCTGGGCCTGGGATCACCACGTCCCCCCCCTCCCACGCCCCCACGTGCCGGACAGACTGACAGGGTGTCATTTGCCGGTAATGTCAGCAAAGGCTCCACCGGCAAATCAATTTGTTCCAAATTCCAACCAAATAAAGAGCTTTTTCACACAGGGGGGGCGATCGGGCCCAACCCGGCCGCAGAGGCAGGCAGCCTGGGGCAGTCCGGAAAGGCTTAAATACGCTCCTCACACAGCTCAATAAATCACAAGCTTTAAAGATACTTCTTTGGGAAAAATGTGAGTTATGTGGAATAAGTGTAAACCACACTAACTGACACACACACACACACACACACAGAGACACACAGATACCCACATACACACTCAGAGACACACAGATACCCACATACACACACAGAGACACACAGATACCCACATACACACACATACACACACAGAGACACACAGATACCCACATACACACTCAGAGACACACAGATACCCACATACATGCTCAGAGACACACAGATACCCACATACACGCACAGAGACACACAGATACCCACATACACACACAGCGACACACAGATACCCACATACACGCTCAGAGACACACAGATACCCACATACACACACACAGATACCCACATACACGCTCAGAGACACACAGATACCCACATACACACTCAGAGACACACAGATACCCACATACACGCTCAGAGACACACAGATACCCACATACACACACAGAGACACACATATACCCACATACACACATACTGACACACAGATACCCACATACACACACACTGACACACAAACAGACCCATACCCCCCCCCACACACACACACACACGCAGACAGACTCTTACTGCGGGTCTGAGACCCTTTTGCCAGTCCGCACAGCCATTCCCGACATGTTCCCCATTCCCGAAGGCTACACACCGTTGACGGTGAGCCGGGCCTTGTTGGAGTAGGAGGAGCCGAAGTGGTTGGTGATGATGCACTGGTAGCGGCCCTCGTGTGCCAGTGTGACGGCCCGCAGGTGCAGGATGGTGGTGTACTCCATGACGGCTCCGTCGCGGGCCCGCACATGCGCGAAGTTCTCCACGTCGGCCTCGCGCAGGAACTCCTGGTCCTTGCGCCAAGCGAAGGTCATGGGCGAGCTGCTGCTACTGGCCGCCGTGCAGGTCAGCCGCACGTCCTTCCCGAGGACCGCCACCGTGGTCTCCGGCTGCACCGTGATCTGCGGCTTGGGTAGGTCCACTGCGGGGGGGGCGGGGGGGCGTTATCGCTAGCCGTACACCCCAGACTCGCTGGGGTCCGCCCGCCAAGTCAGAGGGCGCCGGCCCCACACTCACCACACACAAAGCTGTCCGCCTGCACTTCAAAGATGCTCTTGCCCTTCAGGGACTCTGGGTGGGCACAGACGGCCTCCACCCCCGCCTGCAGGCCCCTCGCCGCCAGCCACTCAGGGAACCAGCGCAGCTGGCAGTCACACAGGAAGCTGTCGCTCTGGATCCGCCTGGGGGGGTGGCAGGCAGAGTAAAGTCATGAGGAACCCCTTGAGGAGGAACCAGACGTGCCCGACGCAGGCAGCTGGGATCTGGGCTGGGAGAACTGGCTGGGGCCCGCAGGCTGGGGTGCCCCTATGTGCTGAGCACCGTGTACCCAGCCCCCCCCTCAGCCCCACCCCCAGCAG